CTGTATTCCAGGCTTCCTCCTTCGTGGACAGGAATCTGCTCTGGGTAGAGCATGGTTTTAACTCTCCTAAAGCAGAGGATCTCATTCCCATGTATCTGGACAGATTTCTTTACAAGTCAAAATACCAGAAGATATTGAACATTCATGACAAAAAGTTATTACACTGCATTCAGCCTCACCCACATAAAAGGACAGGCCAGCACGTAAAGGGCTGAAACATCTTCTAATCATGAATCAAAGATGACAGCTATTGCAGTGATCTCCTAACACAGTTTTAGGGCTTCTGTTCTCAGGCTACACAAGTTGTGAAGGCATAGATGAATTAAAACAATAAAGGCTTTTAATCCAGTTGAACAAATGCCAAATCCCCATAATCCCCACAGACTCTTTCTATCTAGCATTTCACATTTTAAAAATTGAAATTTAATATGGAACAAAAATGTTAAGCATTCTTGTTCCATGAGAAGAATCATTCTCCTGACTTTCAATCCCTGTCTGTTAGAGAAAAATGAGTTTATTCTTATATTCCAAAGGATAGGTACACAGTATTCTGTGAACAGACTCTAAGCTTGCACATAAGCATATTTCCCCAGCACCAAGCACTGTCAAATAGTCTGCACCCCTCAACAGGGCTTTTTACCTCAGTTCCCGTGTATAAGTCTTTTCACTTCATCTATCTGTAGTTGGCCCAGTGTCTCAGACCTGATCCAAATGAAGCAGGGGTGGGGAAATCCTGAACAGAATCTTTTGACAGGAGCAAAACTTGCTGCCGTTGTATGAATGGGTGATGGTCGAGAACCATCTCACAGCTGCACGTGCACTGAGCCTGCTTGGATGCTGCTGGCACCTGGAAATATTGGACAAGCACACTGTAATAGAAGATACTCTTGACTGGCAAATTTATCCTCAGCTTCTCCAGTAAAACTGTGTCTGAAACACATAGGCACAGGAGGAGGCATTAGAACTGGCCACAGGTTAATTCTATGGTGACTTTTGTTCCATTTCAACATGTACAACAGTATAGATCAAAACTGAGTTCCAGGAAAGCACAGCCCTAGATTGTTGGCTGCAGTGCCTGAAATCTCATGATAGGATACACAGCATGGCCTCAAGTTGCACCAGGGGAGGCTTAAACTGGAAATCAGGAAGAATTCCTTTACAGAAAGGGTGGTCAGGCTGCCTATGGAGGTGGTGGAATCTCCACCTCTGGAGATATTCAAGAGACATTGGATGTGGCACTTAGGGACACAGTTTAGAGGTAGATTTGTAACGTTGAGGGGATGGTCAGACACAATCTTAAAAGTCTTTTCCAGCTTTTTTTGTACTCTCATTGCTACTAAGACTAGTGGCTTCCCATAACATAAGCTTCACATCATCAAGAAAGCAATATCTTGACAGACATTCATGCTGGGGAAGGCCAGATGGTCTTTAGAACCCAGGTACAAGGCAGCATATCTCTAGTTCAATAGTCATCTTAAATATAGCTTGAAAGATTACATTTTCATTAGGAATCTAGGATAATCTAGCAAAAGCTTTAGAAAAAGACTATACATAGGAAGAGCAGCCCAAGAGCTTGATCTCTTCTCCTTGCTTCTGTGTGGCAGCTGAAATGGGGACTACATCTACAAAGTGAACCAAGTTATTTAAATGTTACAAGGGAAAACAAAGTGCTGCAGAAGATCAAAAGAACAAGGTGGCAATGGAGACCTCTCACATTCAAAGTTATGCCCAAGTGTCTCACAGAAAGCCTGGCAGTTGCTAAGAATCTAGTTGCTAGGAGGATATACACCTAACCCCTTCTCCAACGCAGATTTTGCAGCCTTAAGGAAAAAAATGTTTTCCAGTTTTCTCTGTTCAAATAACTGACAGAAGTCATTTTTGTTGTTGCATTGATACTCAACTGAAAACATAAGCGTGCTGGATGTTTCCACACAGCTCAGGAAATATCAAATAGAAACTTCTTATCTTTGTGAACTGGTACAAGTGCTCAGTTGTGTGTTTTCCCATCAGAATAAAAGTTGTTTCTCAACTCCAGCTTCCAATAGTTGTACTCACTGAAAGCAATGGTTCCTATCATCTTAACATCAGGAGAAAGCTGAGATACTACACATACACAAGGACTACAAAGAAACCACACTTACCACCAGCACGTGGCATAGCATGGAAATAATGAATGGCACATCAAAGACAGATCCCCAGCTGTAGAAGATGCTCTTTTTTAAATTCATCACCCTATTCAACTGCTGCTTTACTTCACTACAGCTCATATTCAATACAAAGCAATCACAAGTGCTTTGCTGGACTAAATATGGAATAATTTGTAGCAATTTGATCCAGAAGACAACAATAAAAGCTTTAATATCGCCTCTTCTGTTATTAGAAAGCACTTCTATTATAAAAACAAAGTTTTTTTTTGACTTTCAGAAATTCACCATTTGGTCCTAATGTGCTTTGATGGAAAATAGCTTTAGAGGTTTCAAAAAGCCCAAAATAGAGAAACATCTGCTAAAATTTAGATGCAGCTGTTTAGGGGAAAAAGTCCAGTGCTAGAAAAGCCAGTACTCCCTCTGTAATCAATAACAACTCCATTAAAAACATCAGGGAACAGCGTGAAGTACTTGCCCAGGTTCATTTTTTAAAAAAGCACTGACATCTTTAGGTCATCAAAACTTGGAGAGACTTTGTAAATTAGTGTCACACAGGTGTTTCGGCCAGAGTCCAACCAAGCCATAGTTGGCTGCTTTTCCAAAGCAATCAGAATTGGTGCAGTCTTAAGAAGAAAAAGCCCCTAAGCACGTTATCCAGTTTCATTTTTGGTAAAGAAGACCTGCTGTATTCCCTGCTTAGAAGTGACTGCACTTCAGTGATAAAAACAACTTGATATCAAGTCTGTTATCAGCTTTGGGCTCTAAGAACTCTACAGAGCTTTGTCCACAGTCTTAAATAAGAGTCTAGTCCAATAGGATGAGTGGGAATGCAGCAGGAAAGGTTCAGGTTGGAGATTAGGAAAAAAAATTCTTCTGAGAGTGGTCAGGCACTGCAATGGGCTGCCTGGGGATGTGGTTGCATCACCATTCCTGGAGGCATTTAAGAAATGCTTACATGTGGTACTGAGGGACACAGTTAGTAGGCAGCATTGGATGGCTGGAGTAGATGACCTTGGAGGTCTTTCCCAACCTTGGTGATTCTATGATTGTGGGAAATGGCATCACTACTTTTATACTAGGGGAAAGATTCATGATATTTACCTAAAAGAATAAAACACACAGCACTGAAGGGAGAACAGACTATTAGCAACCTTCAGCCATTGAGTGGAGGAATAACTCCTTCTGAGTTGCTGACTGTGAACTGATCTGAAAAGGCCAGACAGACCAGTTTTTCAAAAGCACTATCAATCACTAAAGCTGTACAGAGCATCACAAATACTATTCAAATAAGAAAGCTGTGTCTGTTACTGTACTGCATAACGTTCAGATAAACACAACAGTGAAAATACAGATGACTCAAGCAGCTAATGCCTGTGAATTTAATGAGAATACATAACTTACCTTATCTTTGTCATATTGGTGAATAGAGTTATATGGTCTATTTAAGAAAAGTCTTTATACTCTTCACCAATTACCCAAATCAGAGCAGCAGGAGCAAGTTTACGATCTACAGTCTGTGAAGTTCCAAACATTGTAGCCTCAACACATCTCATATGGGTTGTACAGCTCCAAACACTTAGTGAACCTCATTGTAATAATGATAATAATGCAGTAGAGCTGTGTTTTAGAAAGCAAGACAGAGCCTGAGTAGTCTTATGAAGAATGAAAAGGAAGGAGTCAAAATACAATCTACAACCATAGCGTTGGTATGGAAGACACTTGGTCTGCTGCTAAACACTGACCTAAACTATTAAGTGCTTTGGAAGCAAGCACATACTCCTTACTCGTCTTTAGTAAAAGATTTGTGCTTCCCATCCAATCTCCTCAAAGTAGCTGTTTCACTGTTAAAGTGCAAGAGCCCCTAACTGAACTCTGAAACACACTCCCTACAGCACAGAAGACAGAAAACCAAGAACCCCCATGCTCCCAGCTGTAACAGGACTTACTAGAGCAGTGTTTCTTCAGACCACAAGCAGTTCCTTTAACCAAAATAAAATCTTCTAAAAGAAGATATTTAGTTGAGCTGTACAGACTTCAATACCTTTGCACTGTCACTTGTTTGTACCTTTCCCAGGACTTCCTCTAGAACAGGGGTTTCCCTGCCTCAAGCACTACACCTACAGCCCAGAGATGTTACAGAACTAGTTTCACAACAGGCCTGCCCCAGAAGAACCATTTCCCTTTTACTGCAAAAGATTTGTGAGCAGGAAACTCAGATAAATGAACAGAGTAGCTTCTGCATGAGAAGTGATTTAAGCAGACAAGGATTCCTCAGGAGGAAAGGACACAATGAAAAGGGAAAGTGGGAAGGAGTCTGAAATCATAGGAGCATGAAATGGAATGGTGGCCCACATATTCCATACTGAACCAGGGAGACTTTAAGGAAGGCTCTGAGCCACAGATGGTTTGAAAGCAATGATTCTGAAGTCTCTACACACTTGCCCTATTCCTATACTCATCCCAGTACCAACCACTGACCCATGTGCAACACTGCACAAGCTCAACAGACCTTTCTTCTCTCCTGGTACATTCCCATGCTGACGATTCCCCTTCGGGGAAAACTCAGAAGAATGGAGAGAGCTGGAGACATCCAAGAGAAAACAGGCTTTGTTGGCTCTTCAGACTGACAGCGAGGGACTGCGGCAACAATTTCATTTGTATTTTTTAATTATTTGGGTCAAAAAAAAACAGCTTGTCACAGTCAGCCTTACTGCTGCACAATGTGCATCTCTGAGCACAAACACTACCCAGAATATCCAAGTGACTTTTAAAAGACTTTTATGGATATTCCACTCTCAAAGGATGCCGGGTGAGATCAATGGACGCCAACTGAGATCATTATGTATGACTTACCTTGCCCATTTCCTTCCCTTTCTGCCTTTGAGGCTCTTTTAGTGCACTGAATGTCTTTCTGGGGAATTTCATTTAATATCTTGGCAGCATACTCAATTCCTCCTGTCAGATCCTTGAGGCAGTCCTATAAATAAAGGGCAGAATGCTTTATTACTAGAGTCAGCAAAAGAATTGTGCACAATGATGTCCTTACTCATACCACAACGTTATTAAAATGTGCATACAGTTTCTGTGGTTCAGAGGCAAAGGGAGTCAAGCAATTGCAACTTAACGGCTTCAGTTCCCTCTTCTCCTGGACGTGTGTCACACTTTGTATTTTGAGCTCTGCTCCACATAAGCTGCCATCTCAGTGTCCTTTACTTGAGCTCACTCACTCAGGCTCACATCCCACTGTTCTTGCACAGACCTTCACATACACTCAGAGTCTCTCTAAACTGATACATAATAAGTGCCAGAGGCTTCCAATTGCAAACTGCGTGCTTCAAGCTTTAGCAAAGGGCTGCCTGCTAAGACTGATAGTCCAAGCTCAGCATGATCCAGTTTGAGCTCAGTGCTGCAAGGCAGCCTCTGTATTTCCAGCAGCACCCAACATTCAAGGGACCCAGAAGCAGCCACACAGAGTCCCCATTCCACACCTACCAAAAATGCTACAGCCTGTTGCTGAAGGAGAGTGTCCTCGTAAAGAAAGTAAATTTAAATAGGAAGCAGGTCATTGCTGAAAGCATTCATTTAAAACTAGCCTACTTCAAAAGACTTCAAAGTACTTTCTAGTGTTACAGAACAATCCATCCAGGAATGACTTACAAACACATTGCAGCCAGACTTGTGATTTGATCACGATGCTCATCTTATTCGTGTGCTCTGTACCCATGGGTTTACATGATCACATAAATTTTAGGGTTTTTTGTTTTGTTTTTCAGAAATGTGAAGAAAGCTCTGAAGTAAGACCAAACCCTACCACTTCAGCATTTGGGAATTGCAGTCCTACAAACACTAGCATCAAAAACGTCACTGGCTTTGAAGTGAGCAAAGAGAGAGAAGGAGAGGGGACTTGCTCCACTTCAATGAAATTTTATGATGTTAATCCTTGCTAGAAGGGAATGTGCTGACTGTCAATTTCAGTTCACTCTATGGCAGAGAAAAGTACATTTCACCTGAAGTGCATCCTTCTAGAATGGGAAGTAACTCCACCAGCTTTCCTCTTTGTGATACCCACCAAAGAATGAATTATCACCAAATGAACAAAGACAGCCTGCATGCACCTTTTCCCTTCTCTCACATTCTTGCTGCAGTTGCAAGAAAGATGCTGGAAGCTACTGTCACCCTTATGCCTGCCCTCTTCACTTCACCTCATCTTCAAAACAGATAAAGTCAAATCTTACAACTGAACTTTATGGGAGAAAGACAACATTCAACTGACAGTAAATCTACACACCACCAACCCAGAACATCTTGATATCTGAACGCTGATTTGGGGAAACTTATCTGCTGGGCTCATTCCTTGGAATGAGAGGCAGACTGGATAGGGGGATGCTTGCAAGTGCTGCCTGTTCAGCTTCTACTCACAGGGACTCTTAACCACAGAGCAGATGGGAGAAGTTATAAGTGCTCCTGCTGCAAAGTCTGCCAGCAGCATAAGAGAGATGCTGTAAAAGCTGGACCTTCCAGAAGACCTACAAAATACCTTCTACAAGATGAAGCTCTCAGGCACTACTGGAGCAGTACTTAGAAGGCAAACGAATGAGTCCTCCTCCATCTAACATAGTGCCTTCCTGGATTTTAGTGTCACTGTTCGCCTTAGCAAAGACAACTCAGTCCTGTACAAAATAAGAAGGCCATGGAAGACATAATAGGTGTACTGCTATGACCTCCCCTCTGGCCCGCCTCCAGCCCTACAGTAACCAGCCATCATTTACTGTGAATGCTCAAAGTTTTATTTTGCAGCTGCAGAGTTTCTCTTTCTAAATCCTACACAAAACCAAGCTGTCCCACCTCTTAAAATGCTTGCAGAGGCCAGAACAAAGGTTTCAAATAGCAAAATCATTGCTGGCCTAGCAATAGCTAGAGTCATAGTGACACAAATCAGCATCAGTCTACCAGGCCTTACTATTTACTCAATAAGACTCAATAAAACTCATTCTGTTCATATTAGTCAACAGCTTTCTCAATATGCACTATAACATCCAACTTCTGAAGTTACAATAGCAGGTTTCCATGAGGGCTTCAGTTTTAATACAATTTAATTTATAGTTACATAGTTCAAGTAAAGTTCCCTTATGCACACAGATAGCTTTCAATCACGCACTCAGTGAGGAACACAAGCACTATGACCAGCAACACAATTTCAACTACACCAAGGCCAGAATCAAAAGAATTTGTGATTACTGCAGTCATACAAACAGCAGCTGCCATCCATTAACGCACATCAAGATGTGGGAAAATAAAGAGTGTCACTACACATGGCTCCTAATTATTACAAGCCACACAGTAAACTAACAAAAAGTGACATCGTTATTTGAACTGCATCCAGATTAGTTTCATGTCTCTTATGTAGAGCTGCAGCACAAAGGGAATGGACTGTATATTTCAGAGCAGAAAGATCTTTTGACTCGACATGTGTTGATGGCACATGGAAACTCTGGTTTCTATTTACCTATAGAACAACAATAAAACAAACAGTGAAGTCTCAAGGAAAGAAAAAAGGTTTGGGAAATTAGTTCAACTTCATCTGAAATAAAAAGTAACTAAACTACATATCAAAGAACTCTAAGAGTCAGTTAGCAACTGACAAACGCAGGCACTAAACATGAAAAATGTTATGGTCACAGAGTTCTGATATGTTTTTTTTTTCCTTATGCATACATAATTCTCATTCATGTGTAAGTTGTGTATGCAAAGTGATACACAAATTATTTCACAGTCAAGAACTAAGATAGCAGTGGGATGCTTTTAGACATGAAGTAGAAACAGAAAGCCATTTAAAACCCCATGTATATCATCTTAAACACCTGTTTGGAACAGGTATCAATGTCAGACTTAGGGCTGGAATGTCACTGCTGCTGGCAGGGCACTACTGTGAGGACACTCGTGTATGCAGGGGTCCCAATGACACCATCAGGTGGTGTTTATGCATGATCAAAGCCTAGATGTCAAGGCAAAGCAGAAGGAGCCAGCAGGGAATACACCACAGAGGAAAGGGGTAAGAAGATGAAGTACATAAATACCAACAAACAAAACTTCTCTCCCTGTTTTTCAAAGGGGAAGTTATACAGAATCAGATTTTACTGTAAACAGGGATGATCCTGACATAGAAGAATTAACATTTAGTCCATATAAACACTTAAGCTTAAAATTAAAACATGTTCCCACCATATTTCCATTTAGAATCTACCAAGAAAGAAATCTTAACCCCTGTATCTATACTGAGTTTTGCTCTAACCTGCAAAAACACAGGCCCTCTCTGCTTGACAAAGCCAATGGAAAATATACATTAAAGCAACTCCCACTTTTAAATTGGGCTGACCTGCACATTACCTTTCGTTTCAGAATCTGTACATGCCTTTGATTTGAACCACAGAACAGCTTTACACAGAAAAGGAACTTATTTTAAAAGACCAGATATCTCAGAACTGCTCTCAGAAAGCATTTGAGTCCTTTCCCAGAGGCTCATTCTTCCACTGTACAAAGAAGCTAAACCCACAGTGCAGAAATGCTCTCTGCTTTCTGGACAGATGCATCAATGTGCAAAGCAGCTCTGCTGCTGGGCATCAGCCTGCATTTCAGGATATCTGGATTCCAACTTCTTCCCCCCCAGACTCATTCCACCCCAAGGGAGCTACAGTAAATTACTTCATTTCTTCTGGACTACTCTGCCCATAAGTAGATAAAAACATCTCCCTGGTTCCCCTCTGCACTGATTGGTATTTCAGGGTATGCAGGTTTTTAAACTTCATTTGCACAGTGCTCTGGGATTCTGCTGCTGCTCGATTCCCATTGATGTGCACCAATAACAAAGTATGGAGAAAGCTCTACCAGCTAAAAGAAAACTCCAGGGCACATCCAGGCTCAGCCTTCAATGAAGCAGGCACTGTTGAATCCAGGTGCAGCAGTAGACAGCCAGGATGTAGGGATGCAGCATAGAACTGCTGTGATGACGGGCAAGTCTGCAGGCACAGCTTTTCACTCTGAATTTGTAGCATGGAACAAAGGAAGCAGAGTGCTAGAGAGGTTACAGAGCTGTTTAATCAGAAAAGATGTCCTACTAGATTACCATAAACATTAAACATACTTTTCACTGATGGAGCAGAGAACACTTCAGTATTTCCATGGAAATTCAAGTCATGAAGTTATTCCAAACACTTCACTGAAGTAGAACGCAGCAATACATTAATTTGACTGCTTTCCCCTACTGAGGAAAAGGACAGCATCCTTCTGGAATGAGACAAACACTGACAAATCTAAGAGGCAGGAGCAGGTTCAATAGAGAGCGCAAGCTTATTGGGATCAAAGCAGACAAAGCACAAGCAGTATCAGCCATTAAACCTGGCCAGAGAACAATTGCCTGAATTATTTGTGCAAAAGCAGTGCTATCCTGGGAGACTTCCCATCTCCCCCTTTGCTAAAATTCACAAGAGTCCTCATTAAAGACATGAGGGTGCATTAAATGAAGGAAGAACTTAGAACTAATTCTAAATATGCGCTGGTTTAACAGAGCCTTGTAATCTGCTCAGGTGCATTACATTTGTGATTTCCTTAATGTTTCTTTAATGATCTTGGAAGATAATTCTCCTTCGCACTGCAAACCAGTTTTGTTCAGACACATTCAAGTTTTCCCACAGCGGAGCAAGCAAGTTATCAAGAGAACTAATTAGCTTGACCTTCTGTTTGCCCAGTAATGAGAAATGCATCAAACAGGTTTCTCTTTTCATGTCTGAGCCTGTCAATTAAAGCACAGGCTTTCTACTCGTTGATTGTCCCCAGGAATATTTACCTTAGGCACGGCCAATATAAGCAATGCCCTCTCCACTCACCTCCTCACACTACCTTAGTATTTTCTTCAGTGGAGGGAAGCAGCTATGCACAAAAATCCCTCTGCAAAAATCATAGGAAACTATTCTGATTTCA